CATGTCCCTGAAACCAGAAGGAAACAGGAAAAATTCTTCACACAGACACACAAGACTACCCATTCAACCAGCTCCAGAGGCAGTATGAGAGCAGGTGCAGGCAGTGGTAGACAAGGTGCAGATAAAATGCGGACCAGCCTTTGATGTCTCAACCCTTAACACCGAGACGAAACATTTTGAATGCCTGGTCAAGGGTACAATGGCTCTGATTTCTCCAAGGCATCTAGACATTGCAGCAGCATTCAACAAGCATCTAGCACCCTCTTAGCCAGTCTGAAAATCCATCAGGACAGGTAAATGGGCACTAGAGATTGTTCAAACTGGTTATTACCTCCCCTCTATATCAGAGGTGGGGGGGAGGGGAAGAGGCAAGAGCTGTTGGGGGAGCCGATTTAGAAGCCGGATCCCTTCACCACCAGCTCTGTAGTGCCACTTGCCCCTCCCCTTGTCCACAAAGCAGTCTCTGTCTGCAGTGGCCCAGGCTTGCCACAGACAGAGCCTGATCCGCAGCAGCAGCCCTGTCTACAGCCTCCTGAACCCCAGCCTCTGTATCAGAGGCAGCAGCATGAGGCGGCAGGCAGATGGTCTGAACGTGGAGCTGGTTTTTAAACTAGCTCTTCTGGTGGACTGGCTCTTGCCTGCCACTCCACACTGTTATCTCTGATACAGGGAGCAGCACAAGGTGGCAGGGGAACTACCCAGGAGTGAGGCCAGGAGTGCACTGGCTGCCGGCCCTGCCTCCGGTGACTATTTAATAGTTGTGTAAATACAACTATTCAGCTATATGATATCTAACATCCCTACTGGGCATCTGGCCCTGGATGCCAAGACCTCTCCCCCCAGCAAACCCCATTTCCCCTGCATCTGGACCCTACCAAGTCTTTCCCCCTTGCACCCAGCCCACCCACTTCTCTGCATCCGGATGCCTTATGCTGAACCCCAGTCAACTTCATATGTACCTTCCCTTGCAAATTACCATTACTCTGCACTTGGAACCCCCAATGAGTTTCTGTGCATCCAGATTGCCCCATGCAGAGCCCTCTTATCCCACACCTAGATCTCCCCACATTGTCTTTCCGTGTTTGGATCTTACTGGACAGTTGAGGGCTAATTTCTTACAATTGTTAACTTTCTTTTTTTCAGCTGTGGGTAATTTCCTGCAATATCTCTGGGAGATCTTTCAGCATTGTTTATGTATTGTTGTGGGCCAAGACTGGTATGAAATTCCATGGGAGAGGGTAACCATTGGTCCCCCAAAACTAAGACCCCTATGGAGTGAATAGGCAAATACATTGTGGTTGTATTGCTACAGAGAAGTACCGCTATGTGGGGAGGCTGGTTCAAACTGCATTTTGCAGAGACTGAGACACAAAGAAAGAATTTTTGGTTAAATAGTCTGAGTTTAAACTGACTCAGAGCTTTCTTTTTGGTCCAACAAACCATCAGGAGCTTCTGTCCAAGGAGGAGGCCCAACCCGTAGGGAAGGTTTGTAAGAATCATAATCCAGAGGGGTAGCCATGTTAGTCAGTTTCAACAAAACCAGCAAGGAGTCCAGTGGCACTTTAAAGACTAACAAATTTATTAGGGCATTAGGACATTTCATGAATTACTGGTCACTTCTTCAGATGCAGAAGAGAAAAGGAAAGAAAAAGGAAGGGTTTCAGAGATAGCAGTGTGACACCAGTAAGTAGCAGTAATATCACTCTCCCATCTCTGAATCCCTTCCTTTTTTATTTTTTTCTCTTCAGCATCTGAAGTGCCTTGTAGCTCACAAAAGATTATGACCTAATGCTCTAATAAATTTGTTAGTCTTTAGACACTTTGTTTCTACCGGAACCCAGGATTGGAAGTGGGATGATTTCTGTGACAAGCTTTTTATCATGTGTGCAGATTCTTTATTCTTTTTAATACATTGCCTCTGTAATTTATTTGCCCTAAGCATAAATGAACTTGCTTACAAAGAGCTGTGTGGTAGTTTATAACTGCGGGCTATTTCCCTGATTAAAGCCTTCAGAGAAAAAGTAAAGTGTAGACACTGTTCTATTAGATAGACTGAGGGTGTGTCTAGACTACAGAGTTTTGTCGACAAAAGTGGACTTTTGTCGACAAAACTATACCTGCCTCTACACTACCGCTGAGTTCTGTCGACATTATGTCAACAGAACTCAGCAGTTTTGTTGACACTGGTAAACCTCATTTTACGAGGTATAACACCTTCTGTCGACAGAGTTCTGTCGACAGAAGGTGTTATTGCATCTAGGGTTGTGTCTAGCCTACAGGGTTTTGTCGACAAAGCAGCTTGCTTTGTTGACAGAACTGAATGTAGTCTAGACGCTCTTTGTCGACGGTATCTGTCGACAAAACTTCTGTCGACAAAACCCTGTTGTCTAGACATACCCTGAGTTGTGAACAAGGAACTGTACAGTCTGGAAGAATTCTCATCATTTGGGGGTGAGGTATAGATCATTGCTTAAGAGTTGGGAGCCTGAGTAGGTGCCTTTGGGGGACTTTGAGGGGAGAAGGTACAGCTGCTGTAGCCCTGACCTGTGACAAGCTGTTTTAGCTATAGTTACTTATTTCATGTAAAGACTGCAATACTTGGCCCAACTGACTACTGATAGTAACACACAGACAAAATCACTATGGCTGTCAATTTTTAATGTCCAGCATAGACTTTGTTAAAGTGTTTCAGGTTGGGTACCTAGAAACAGGTCTGCAGGTGGACGGGCAAAGGGGGGCAACTACTCCAGGGCCTGGTGATTCAAAAGGGCCTTGTGGTGCTTCTGGCTGCTGCTACTCTGTAAGTGGCCAGAACCCCAGGCCTTTTAATTGATGCCAGGGGCCCAGTGAGGCTGTCAGCCCCACTGCCCAGAAATCACAGCTCGCTTTTTAATGTTTAGGCCCTTATTTGTTTATAATAAAAGCTATATAATCTAGTTCCTCCTTACATGTAAACGTCTCATAATAAAAAAGAACTGTGTGCTTTTTAAAAACTCAACTTTCTAAAAGTTCTTTCTGATCTTTGGTTAGGAATGTAAAATTATTTCTGCCTGAAAGTTTTCTATGCAACTGAGAATGGGGTAGAATGGGGGACTATTAAGTGTCCTTCAACAATAGCTATTGCTGTCATTTCTACTAGATGTTTTAAGTCATCCATTTCAAATTGTCCTATTTTAAATATTTGTATAGTAAATGTTGAATTTTCTGTTTTTCTAAGATGCTGTATAAATAAACATTTCCCAATAGCAGCCCAGTCTTTCAGAGCACTCTTTTTGTTATGTAATATTGGACATATAAGGCCTATAGTTTTGCTGTGTTAGGGCAGGGTGTTTGTATATGCACACTGTGCTGTAAGGGTCTTAAATATATTTTGACTGCTGGATTATGTGTATTAATTATTGGTCGAAGGGAGTTACTGGAGTACACTATTTCTATAATTGTTTTAAAACATGCCAAGAAGCACCTAGAGCAAAGGTGTAACTTTTTTTGCTGAATGACTTGCTGAATCAGTCACAATCCAGCATTGTGATCTGTGCAGCACTGAGGCCCAAAATAAAAATCTATATTCTTGTCTTTAATATTTTTTTCTCTTTAATATTAATATTATTCTGGGATCCCATTTATGCACAATTTATATTATGTATCCATAATACATACTTGAACTTATATTATGTATCTATTTTAATCACTTAAATTAACAGTGTCTCTATTTCTGAACTGGTTATGGTTTTGCTTTAAAAAGCTGACATTTGTGAACAATATCATGCTCAGAATGAAATCCTTTTTTTCTTGTTGTCTTTTGAAAAACTGAAATGGCAGTGAGGAATTCATGCTATACTGTACCTTTTACTCCTTGTGCTGTTCAGTAAATTGCATGAAACACACTAATTGCATATAGTGCGAGCAGCAGGGAAGCCTGTATTCTAGCTGTTGAGTTTGTATGTCATGTGAGCTCTGGCACAGAGCCATTTATGAGCATGCAGGTGGAGTCTCTGGCAGAGAAAACAAATGTGTATTTCATCTGTGATAGGCTAGTGACCTGGGCTTGTTCTCTTCTTATCCAATCCTCCAGTTTTCTTGCCTTGACAGAATAACATGTCCTTTTAAGGAGGTGGATTGTACCATGGGAACTTTATTGAAAAGGGGTAGGTCTGGGTTATTGGGCATCTGTTACTAAAGCTGGAAAAAAGACTTGTTTTATGAATAAGAGCAACAGTTTACATTGATTTGTTCCAGTAATGCTGATGAACATTTTATTAAGTGTTAAACTTCAAAACTGGAATTGCTGAATGAGGAGAGCTGAAAATTCAGGAGCTGATAAAACTCCCTGTAGATTTGGAGTGCATCCAGCCAAAGGAGGCCCTTAATGCCCGGATGTCTGTCAAAATTAGTGTAATCCAATACTGAAATAGGGAGATTTAGCTCAGGAACCTCTGTCTTTGGGGGTAGAAGCTCAGTGACATTTTAGAGTGAGCAAATTTACAGAAACTAGGAAACAGAGCGGAAGTATCAGCAAATGGCAAATAAGTTTTTGGCTGGGGGTTAGGGAAGGAAGTTGGGGAAAGGGACTCATGGACATAAAAGATTTGCTATTATATACTTCACTATGGCTGCCCAGTCAAGGTAAGAAATTAAAGTAACTTTTACCACTGTAAGGATGTTTTATGACCTCAATTTGTTTTATTTAGTTGCATCCTCTGTTAGTTATAGCTTGTTAGTTTAAAAAATAGATTATGGCAAACAGTAGCTTGGTGACAGTCCTGCATAGTGTGACTTTAAATCTGTATCTTTTCTGGATAAACTTGTGAATGGAAATGTTTATGAAATACCGACATACATAGAGCTAATAACTTCTTATCAGACCTCTTCTTATCAAAGCAGCACGTTAATTAATTTATTCTTCTAAAACTCATTATTTCCTCCTCTGTGCACTGGCCTCTTTCTTTTTACACTGTATGTTGCCAGACGTAAAAAAACCCAAAAAAACCAACAACACTTTTATGTTCGCTTATAATTAAGGCGAGAGCCTTAGACCTGTAAAAAGATGATTGAGATATATTACAGTTGTATGTGGTTTCTCTCCTTGATTAGAAAATTATCACAATAAAATGGTAGCAGGCTTTTTGTATGTGAATCTGCTGAGTATGCAAAGGATGGGAATGTGCTGTGAAAAAGGGGAGTGTGTGTAAAGGGGAGAGTGTGAAAAAGAAAAATTAACTCCTAATTGCTGTCAATGCATGCCATTGAAAGAAACCCTTTCAGACCTTCTCAGCCTTGGGAAGGAACACTTTTTTCCAAGCATTTAAAAAAAAAAAAACACAATAGTTCCCAAAGCTCCCATTTTAAATGTTGTGGTTAGGAGAAAAAGAAGTGCTATTAACAGCAGATTTTTTGTGTTTTGGATGCTGCTTTTTCTTAGTAGGCCAAAATCATTTTATTAGGAAACCTCACAACTCCATGTATCATCTTTGCCTTCAAATAGTTAAACTGCAGTGATAGGCATAATAGAAATACCTAAGTGAGAAACTTTTACAGTGGGATAGTCCAGCTCAGTCATCCCATGTCCACTCAAATGGTGGTATATTTAAGGTTACCATATTTTCTGAACCAAAAATACCAAGACATTAGCCATGCCCCTGACCCCTTAGGCCCTGCCTGCTTGCCATAGGAAGTCCCACCCTAGGGGTAGTACTTTCAGGTCAAGATGGACATGTAACTGGAAGTAAAGGGTGTCATGTGACCCCTCTAAGAACTCCTCCCACCATCCTCTACCAATAGGGATGGGCTTGGGAATTATAGGTATCTACCACATAACTATACTGCAATTGCATTAACCCAGGCCCCAGACCTAGTGTCTCAGAACACTGCAGCACTAGGGGTCCAACCTTGATTCAAGATGAGATCCAGGATCCAAGACCTATTACTTTTAAACTGCTGGTTTTCAGACTACCTCCCCTCATGGGCCAGCTCCCACCTGCCAGCTGCTGCCTCTGATACAGTGGCTGCTGGCCCTGCCCCTGGGGATTATAGAATAGTTGACTAGCTGATAAAATTTCATGAGGTTACTCGACTATTCAATTAATTGATATTTAACATCCCTATTGGGGGCCACTGACCCACAGAAAAACTAGCTTTGGACCACACAAGTGAGATGCACAAAAAGTCCAAAAAACCCAAGCCTTCACTGATCTGGTCCCCAACTGAGACACCTCCCAGCCCAATGGGATGAGGGGAAGGGACAGGGAGGACTAAGTTCAGGGCTTCGTATAGGCCAGACTTATTTTTGGGGGTTCTGGCATTAGATGATTTTATGCTCCCCCTTAGGCTCTGGGGTGAGGATAAAAGAAAGGTTCAGTGTGTGGGACAGGGCTGCCAGCGAGTGGGATAGGTATGGGGTGCAGAAGGGGGAGGGTTTGCAAGGTCTGGGTGGGAGGTAGGGTGCAGAGGCAGTCTGGGGGCAAGTGTCTGGCCAGGAGGTACAGAAGCAAGGGAGGATTCGGGGTTTTGGAGGGAGGAAAAGTGTAGGGTGTGGGGGTCTGGGCATGGGGGGGGGGTGCTTACCTGGCTTTGCACCCCCTTGCAGCAGGGAAAGTCTCTGGACAGCACACTCCTGTTCCCGTTATGGGGTGTGAATCAGGGGGAGTTCACCCTGCCACGTAATGGGGATCCCGCAGCACTAAGTCCCACTTCTTGCTGGGGAGTGGTGGTGAAGAAACCCTGACCTTCCCTGCCAGACCAGGCTTGCTGCCATTCCCCCAGAGGCGTGGGGAGGTGTGGGGGGAGAGAGTGTGGCAGTGTACAGGGGTAATGAGCCTGAGAACACCCAGAGGCGAGGGGGGGAGAGGAGGGCAGCGCCCAGCTGGGCTCTGCGTGGCAGGGCTGAGGTGGCAGCTGAAAAGCACCGATGTCTGGGAGTGGCTTTCCAGCACCTTTTACTTCAAATCTGGGCACACCCCACATACAGCAGTGGTGGCTGCTGTAACAAGAACAGACTGCTGCCTGCATGTGTGGAGGAGATAGTGGCACAGCCAGACCAGGACCCCATGTGATAGAGACGGTTCTGCAGAGGAAGGGAGGGAGGGAGGGGACTGCGGGTGGTGGAGTTGCTGGAAACGGTACACCACCAGAAGCCCACCCCTGCCGGCAACGCTCCAGTGGAGCTGCTTGAGTGCTTTGCGGAGGAGCTGGAGGGGAGGAAGCTATTGTTGCTATGCTGCTCTGTGAGCAAAAACAGTGATCGGACTTGGTCACTTCCTTCCCCAAGCCAGTGACCCCATCAAGTAGTGGAATGTCCGGTGGGGCTTTCCAGGACATTTCACTACTTGATGGGGCACTGGGACAGAGTATTTAAAATCGGCACAGTGCTGGATTTTCTGGGATGTATGGTTTGATACTGGCAACATTTCTGACTGCCCCTCTTCAGTACCCCAATTTGAGACCAGGACTAAGTTTACACTGTCATTTACAGGGCTGTAGCTTTCTAGTAAGCGGTGTGAAAAAACACAGTGCCTCTCTCTGAGGCAGCAAGGTGGGGAGCAAGAGCTAGTGCAGCGGGGAGCCGGCTTCAAAGCTGGTTCCTCCCAGTGCCGTCTCTGTGGGAGATAAGGGGTAGCAGATCTGGGCATGAGCCAGGAACCAGCTGATTCCCAGCTCATGCCTAGAACTAGATGCACCTTTGCTTTTTAAATGTATTAAAAGCTGACAGACTCTTAATACACTTAAAAGGCTAAAGCGCAGCAGGGGGACACAGCACAAGCCAGGACAGCTGATTCCCGGCTCGCACAGGGTCCCCCTGCTGTGCACAAGCCTTTTAAAATGCAGAGCCGCGGCAGAGTTAACTCTCTGGCAGGAGCTAACTAATCCACAAACTACTCGATTAGTTGATGAAACAAAATGTAATATCCCCGATGCTGGGGCAGTGACCTGTGGGGAGCCAGCAGAGGACTGAAGGGAGAAGGGGTCTCTGAGAGCCAGAGGGCAGTGGTGGGGGGGAAGAGTGGTGCAGG